ATTTCTGCCTAGTAATGATGATGTGAAAGTTTATAGTTTGATAGTGCGTAATTTAAAATATCAGTTAATCCGTCTTTTAATTTCAAACCATAATTTATCTTACAGATCTTCTTCCTCAAGTACAGCCAGTGCCATCCACGAGCCAACAATCAAGAACTTGAATCCTTATGGAACTGAATCAAAAAGGTATGTTATGCTACTAAATTCTATTAACTCGTCGAGTACCGGTTTTGTAGACACAATTATAGAACAATAGGTTGCGGTCACCGGTGACCGCTTGGTGTTTGACAGTTTAATAAGTTTCTATGTGACTATCTATGGATGTTATGCCGTGATGGCCGAGAAGGCCACCCAGGTTCGAAACCTAACAGGTACCAATGTTATTTTTTCCAAAGTATAAATATTATATACTTTTCAAGTTTATTTAAGCTTCTCCTAAAACGTCCTGAGTAAACCTGGACTTATTATTTCAAACTATGAGTTTGAAATCTCCAATCTGTCTTGAGCAAGCGTAGAGATTGAAGCTTATACTGTCTCCTTGTGAAAATAAGTATTTGTTCAGCAGTGACTATTTCTGCCTAGTAATGATGATGTGAAAGTTTATAGTTTGATAGTGCGTAATTTAAAATATCAGTTAATCCGTCTTTTAATTTCAAACCATAATTTATCTTACAGATCTTCTTCCTCAAGTACAGCCAGTGCCATCTACGAGCCAACAATCAAGAACTTCAATCCTTATGGAACTGAATCAAAAAGGTATGTTATGCTACTAAATCCTATTGATAAGTATATATGTGACATTCTATGGATGTGTTGTCGAGGTGGTGAAGGTAGGAAACGTGATAAATCCTGGACTTAATATCTCAAACTATAAGTTTGAAATCACCAAACTGCCTTGAGCAAGCACCGTAGTGATGTAAGTTCATACAGTCTCCGCGTGAGAATAAATATTTGTTCAGCATTGAGCACTTCTGGCTAGTGATGATAGTATGATAATATGTAATTTTGGATGTCAGTTAATCCGTTCTTGATTAAACAGATATTCTGTTGCAAGAGTAGACCAGGCATGACGAGTTAAGGCATAAAATTATTTTTATTCTGGTATATTTTCGTTAATAAATTTTTACCTACCTGCCTGCAAAAGCTTTTGTTTAATATCAAATTCCCTTGTTTCCTACTTCAGTCTTATTCTGAATATTAAAAAATAGGATAGATGAAAGGTGTTGTGAACGGATCTGAAAAATAGCATGCTATTCGAGAGGTCCATGAGTAGAAATGGTATGGTCTGCTACAGGCTGATGATATTTTTATTAGCTTATTACAAACATATAATTTCACAAACACATGAGACCCTGACCCGAAACAAGTATTTGTGAATCACAGAATAAGTCATTATGTGCGGTAATAGAACCCGCTACATGTTGCTTGGTAGCCGGTTTCCCAGCCGCCGCACCAACCGTGCAATAATGAAAAAAAAAAATCTTTATTTGGACCATTACCATTTTGAAGTCATCAGCTCTCATATCTAGCGGCTATCAGACTAGTTTTAAATCATAATGTATCATTTCAGATATTTTGCCTGAAGCAGTGCCATCCACGAGTAAGCAATTGAGTCAGATCTCTGTGGAGCTGTCTCAAGGTCAGTGAAGATGTTTTGAGTATTTCTTCCTATCATTCGATTGCATTGACTGCCAGTGCTGTGGTAATTCATGACATAGGAACAACTTTTTATGACATAACATAACATCACGCCTTTTATCCCCGAAGGTGTGGGCGGAGGTGTACATTACAGTAATTAATGGCACTGTACATTGTAACGTAACACCCACTTTCCACTATTTATGTTATGAGTCGCATGTAATAGGGGGTGAGTCTATTGCCATATACCGGGCACAATTCCAGACTCCATGCTACTACTTAGAATTGTTTTAAACCCAGTAATACTTTGCCTGACCCGGGAATTGAATCCGAAACTCCTTGCTCAGCAGTCGCACTTGCGACCACTCAACCAACGAGAGAGGCCGGTTTTATGACTTTACTTATTTCTTTTTATATTTATTTTTCAGAAGAAATACATACCCTTTCTACTGTTGAAAATCTGCCTGAGAAAATGCCTAGTAAGTACTTTATCATTATTTATAATGCATAGAAAATAACACAATTACATATCTTCGGTAGCGTGGGTATAAGGTTGTGTAAGGTTAATCTATACATATAATAAAAACGTAGAAAAGTCTAATTTGTACATTGAATATTTTTTTAAAAGAATACTTGTAGTGTGATCTACAATCGATACCGAAGCCAAAAATATGAGTTTTGGAATTTTTGTCTGTATATATGTCCGAATTAAACTCAAAAAGTACTACATGGATTTATTTCTTTGCATGAATATTACTAAAAGGTCGGGTCAACATAGTCATATTATCACGCTATCACCTACGTGGGAGTAGCTTTGAATCACTATTCCACGCGGACGAAGTCACAAGCACAGCTAGTAAGATAATATATCAGAGAATGGGCAGCAGCATCCTCTTTGCATTAGAACAACAACACTACGATGGCCCCTAGTAGCCATCAGCACTTCTTTCCTCCAGTAGCTGTCGAAGCAACGTTGAGGCACACACGGAATCACGTAAAAGGGGTTGGGGGTGAAACTTAAGATGTATTAAAACCATTGTAGCCGATTTGTTACAGAACTAAAACTAGTTTTCTAAGTTGGCTTTTACATATAGGAACATCCCTTAAACTTATTTAATGTTAGAATATGATTAACAAATAGAAAGATTGAAAACGATCCTCGATATGGTTTTAGTAATTTTTGTGTTCTATTGCTATTTTAAATTGTGTTATGTGTGCAGAGAAATGCTTGCAAGGCTTTTGTAAAATATTTTACTTTTATTTACAGATTTAACGATAAGGGAGAAGCAATTGATGGAGCGCCTGAAAAAAACAAAATGCAGCCTAACAGCACTTAGACGTAGCGCTAATCTTTTAGGTAAATTGGAGTCAGGCGTCTTAAAAGAAATAGTTCTGTAGGCGTTGGCAAATTAAAAAAGAAAGGCCAACGGTTGCCGTTGGACATCAAAAAATAAAATATGAGCCTTAGCTATATTTAAGAGATCACCAAAAGCCTTTCGATATCTGCAGCAGCTAATGCCACTACCAAGTGTAAAAACGTTGCATAATGTTTTTAAAAAAATATCAGTCTCCACTGGTGTAAACAAATCTGTTACAAAACATTTAAAAAAAATCTGTAAATATGGATAAAAAGACAAGTACTGTGGTCTATTTACTTTACATATTTGACGAGATTGCTCTAAAACGACGTCTCTTTTTTAATATTAGTACAGACAAGGTTGAGGGTTATGAAGACTATGGCCCGGAAGTAGAACGTGGTTCTCAACTGGCTGACCATGCATTGGTCTTTATGTTGCAAGGTATACGAGCAAAGTTTAAGCAGCCAATAGCTTTTTATTTTGTTAAGGGTACAGTTTCCTACCAAAAACTAGCCTCAATTATAAAAGAAATTATCATGGTTGTTGAAGATACTGGATTCAATATATTAACAACAATCTGTGATCCCTATATTTTGGCTCCACGTGCACTTTAGTGATTTTGCTGAGGTATAAGAGGTTTCTATTTTTTTCCTCTGCTTGTAACAAATGCTCCCATTTAGCCTTCATTCCAGACATATACATTTCCCCATATTTGAGGAAATAATTTATAATCGATTTAAATAAATGAGGTATATCATAAACAATGTAATTTTTTCCATTTGAGTAAGTAAAATAGTTGTCATTTTCGTTAATTGGAGAAAGTGATAATGATTTTAATAGTTTCAGGGTCCCCATGTTTGTAGGAAGGGTCCTAAAAACAGGAGGTCACAGATTGTTGTTAATATATGGAATCCAGTATCTTTAACAACCATGATATTTTCGGCTCGAAGTACAGGATTAGGAACGGGGTGGTTTTTAGCCAGTAAAAGTCTGATCCACCTCATCCAGGCGGCCGAAGTCATTAAATGATTTCCCCCCCTTAAAAAATACCTTTCAACGTAAAGACCAATGCAAGCAATGCATGATCAGCCAGCGTTTGAATATTTCAGCGTAAATGATTTAAATGTAAAGGTCGATTGTCAGAAAAGTGGCATTGTAAGAAATAACTTCTGTATCTAATCTGCAATATATGGTGAATGTATTAAGTAAATAAATAAATAAGTAAAATTATATAAAAATAGTGTTTTTTTTTTCCTAATTTTCAAAATATATACTTTTGTGCAAGAATCCTATATAAAAGCATGCTTAATATTTCATCGATATCGATGAAATCTGAATATCGATACGTTGCCCATCCTTATTCGTGACAGTTACTCTTTTCAAGGTCATGGTTGTCACTGTCATTGGTAATGTTGGTAGCATTGTGTGGTTGGCTAAGCGCCGTTACGAACTCTCAAAAAATTGAATGTACTAAGATCCGCCTCTTATAATTACATGCTCTGTGCGTTTAGCGTTCGCTTGCTTTTCGTGAGTTTTACGCTTGGCTGAAGGAGTGGTGTACGCTCGTGTGGAGGATATTTTGTGCTAAGTCTATTTATTGTGACAGAAAAAAAGCATAACAATGTCGTCAAAAACGAAAAAGACTGTAACATCGTCGTCTAATATAAGTGTGGTGTCATCAGTGCAAAGCCCGCAGCAGTCGAGCACTCCTGTGGGAAGCCGCCCTTCAAGTTCTGCCGGCCGGCCGAATAGCCCGCTGAGCCCTACAAGACACACCCGTCTTCAAGAGAAAGATGCCTTACAAAATCTCAATGACCGTTTGGCGGCATACATCGATAAAGTCAGGCAGTTGGAAAGTGAGAATTCTGGATTACGTCGTGAAATTCAGACTACACAGGAGGTGGTCACACGCGAGGTTTCTAATATCAAGGGCATGTACGAGCATGAATTGCAAGATGCCCGTAAGCTCTTAGATGACACATCGCGTGAAAAAGCTAAATTAGAAATTGATCTGAAGAGGTTATACGAGGAGAACGATGATTTGAAAAAGCGGTAAGCGATTACGATTGCGTTATATTGATTATACCTATTTGTTGATAATGTAGTTATAAATAAACTTAGTGCATGTGGAGGCAAGTTCTTCCGGCTAACCTTAGCATAGCAAGTTTACGTCATCGGCGGAGTTTCTTAGCGGGTGCGGTGTGACGAGCGCGGCCGACCTCGCTTTTACGACATAGTGACATCATAGCCCGATTTAACCAAACTAATCACATTCTTAAGTATAACAATTCTAATATGAAGTCGGTAACATACCAATGTCGCAATCTGTGTTACATATTTTGTTTATAAACAATATATTTAATTAGTTTCTCAACCATTTAAGATAAGACTAATATCTCAGTATTCTTGTCTTCTGACACAAGTGCCAACATTTGTTTTCAAACTATAAATATTGGCAACAAATAGCTATGTAAATTATCAACACTGAAATGTAGAAACTATAGTTATAGAAGGTCCAACATAAACTAGTATAGTGCTAGTTGTTTATAAACAAAAATTACACTTCTGGGTAATATGGTTAAAATTATTGGACTACCTTACAAAACTAGCCAATAGTCATGATGCATACTGCTGCTAGGATACATACTACTGACTACAAATGGGTAATAATTTTTGTATATTTTCTAAGCAAAGTTTAGATTAATATGTTAATCACAAGTCAGACGACTGAAGGTCAGGTGTTTTTCAGTAAAGTCAATACTTGCTTGCTAAACAGTCTTGACCTTGCATATGGCAGGAGTAGAAACCCAGATTTTAATAATGTATAGTAAAAGTAATGAATATATTTTCAGTCTTAGGCGCCGGCCTAGATAGCAATCAATTTGTGTCAAGGTGAGAGTGTCTCATCTTCAAAATTACTTTTATAAATGTGTTTTCTTTATTATCAAGGTTTCTAATAAACAATTATCTTAGCAATTCTATTTATTCATCAGGTGCACATCATACTTACTTAACATAAATAAATAATCATTAATTAGGTATAGTATAACATTATTATTTTACACACCTTGTCAAAGTTTGATATAAAGATTATAATGGATTACTTTTCAGTTTCATTAGTTACGTGATAAAATATCTACAGATAATTGTTACAAAAATTCTTTTATCATATAATTATTCATCCTTCACTGAAATGCAGCACTCATTAACATTGCATTGTGCATGGCTACATCCATATGGTGATAATAAATGTCTTTTAAGTTCACCTTGACTCTGTTTTCCAGTTTCGGCAGACATTCAATGTTAGTACCTATCACACAGAGGTCATACTTTAACATTGTAACTTAGTGCATGGAAATGAGAATGTGTTTACTAGACCTTGAGTAAACCTAGAACTCGATTGTCAATTGTTTAATAGATTGATTAGTCATTAAAAACTGCATGATTATTTATTAAAGTAGATCAAGTAGGCATTGTTTGCTGAATGTAAACAGCACCTAAATTACCTAGTTAATCATTTATTTTGTTGTGATTAAACCTACTAATTTCCCTTAATATGATTAGAACAGACTATTACAAAACCATATCAATATCCTGTTATTTGCCACTGTGTTAATTTGCTATCATTACTCTGTTATAAATGATACAGATCCCTAAATACGATAACACAACCCCAAAAACAGTAAGCATACAACAGAGCCTCAAACAACATTGTAATAAGGGGGAGGATAAAACTTCGCAACCTCGATGCACGCGAATATTCCAAACTGGGTCAGGGAGCAATCCATGTTATGAATATGAACATTTCGTTTGCTTTCGTTGAATCGTCTTTTAACATCTTATCTAATCGCGGCATTTACAAATATTATAAAAACATTTAATTCCGAGTTAAGATAAAACAAGTAACATTCCAAGGAGGTATTTTAGTTACCATCCAACTGAAAACACTACCAAAATATATAACATTTTTACTATACTTAAAAATCCAATGAATACTAAATGAGAAAGAGAAGTACGGGAAATAAAATTGCACCTTGGTACTTTGATATACAAGGAATCAAAGGCTATTTAGAGTTCGATCAAGTTTCCGCCTAGGCATAGAGATTAACTTTAAAGGCTACGGCTGTTGACCCTGGCCAGTTTACGTCAGCTACACGCTTGTGGCGCGCCGCCCACGCCGCCGTCAAGCTTAACGCGCTTTTGCTCCGACGTAATCAAGTAAATACGAAGGTTCAGTCATAACAAATTCTCTAAGCATGATCTAATTGGCTACTTACTTAATATTTAAGCCCACATTATAGCGTTTCCTGTGTAACAACTTGATCAAAGCTTTGCAATGACGTAAGCAACTTATTTACGTAGCTATGACATCAATACAACCTTCTCCGAATAGATTCTTTTAAAAATATCGCTGACGATTTCTTGAAATTATGTCCGTCAAAGTTACTGCTAGACTGTTTTTTTTGTTACTGCTGTTGTAACATCAAGCATTACAAACTTGAATTTATATTAATTACTCTATTTTCAAAGACCTCCCGCACCGCCAATTGTACTTCACACACACATGGTTACGATTAACTTTAAATAATAGCTTATACTCATTATTTTTATAGTTTTATTACAATAAATAATTTTAAGTGTGCCATATTTTTCTAAACTAACTAGGTCACATGAAATCCTATTTTGATATTGATGGAAATAGACGATAATTCATGAGCGGCGCGTCGCGAAATAAAATTATTACGTACGTTGCTCGTATATGTGTAACTATTTACCGACATATTTTAAGGTATTTGGAAAAGAAGTAACTTTACATTATATATAATAATTTACTAGAGTACCACCCGCGGCTTCGCTGACCTGGTCAAAAAATATCACAAATCTCACTAGACTCCAATATCATGGGTATCTTTCAACATAAAAATACTCCGTTACGACGTCAATGGAAGAAAGTCTTTCTTTCGTATTTATTTATAATATCGGCTATGTACCTATTTAACGATAAAACGTTGCCATGGCATGATACGATTTACGCAACACATTATAAACCTTAGCTAGGGCCGAGGATGGGCAACAAACATGTAATCTTTATTTTTGTAATTGTGTAAACATCATCGACAGTACCTAAAATATGTTGTACCTTGAATGACGAGAATGACGGCATGCTTGTCCCTATGTCATCTCCAAATAAAAAAATGTCGTCATCTTTAAAAATTTATTGGAATTTATTTGTGAACTGAAAAACTGGATACTGCATTCGTATAATAATGTTATCTGTTATACACATTTCCGTTCCGCATTTAACAATGACTTTGAGACAGCAGGTTATCCTTGTCGAATTTATGAGTCACCATTAGCTTAATTACTAAATTGGTTTAAGTTAACGGGTTCCACTCTTCCCGCAGCGTAAAACAACGTTGTTTCCTGAAGAACGGGAAACACGAGATACAAAAACCGTCGTAAACGTATGTTATATCAGATTCAGTGATTCGTGTCGTCGATTCATGTGAGAGATTCAAGTCGACACAAAGACAAAAACACGCGGGAACCGGATAGTGGCGTGTTTACAAATACATTCCGTGCGCCTATGCAGTTGCGCAACCCGAGCGTACGGCGCGTCGCGTTCCGCGCGCGCCTCAAAGAGCCATCAGACCACCACAGATGGGGCCCAATAGGGCCGATGCCGATTCGGAGTCGCGTAGAACCTAACGGGTAACCGGGGCTCCGGCTCGACTTGCAGGAGAAGGAACGGGGTGGTTTTTAGTCAGTAAGAGTCTGACACTCCCTTCCGCCTCACCCAGGCGGGAGCAGTCATTCGATGATTTTCACCCCTTAAAAAAAAATGCAGTTGCGCAATAACGTGGCGCGCCATCGCGACCGGCACCACATGGAAACACAGCTTTATTTCTGAGGATTACCTCGTTTAGGTACGAAACCATGAGGTTTTGTATATTCAATAACTCGTCTCTTTATTTATGTCAATGGAATGTTGACTTATTTCCGTATATGTCCATCATTGATAAATTAAACAAATACATACTTATCATATTATACTTATCAGGAAGACAATCATCTATCGTCTTAGGAAATTAGTTGAAAACAATGTACGACTTATATAAATAATCATAAGTTATTGTTAAATTAAATATAATTTTCATTTTCAGCTTGGACAAAAAGACTAAAGATTGTCAACAAGCTGAAAACATGGCGCGTCATTATGAGACGCGTTTTACCGAGGAAAGCAACAAGTACAACACAGCTTTGGCTGATAAGAAGAAGGCTCAAGATGAAGCCAGGGTATGTATAGCTTTCTTCATAAAATAGTTATAATACTCTAGATACCTATTTGCACAATATACACATAATTAGAATCACATATAACATGTTTTGTCTCAAGCAAATAAAACAACTCATATGTTATTTTATTGTTGTGGCAAGAAAATTACTTACTCAAAGGTAATTTCAGCGTTAATTATGTATATCAAATATTTAATGGTTTCTTTCAAACAATCTTTTAATAAATATTCATTTTCAGGAGCTGGGTAAAGAATTGGAGAAACTGCGTAAGGTATATGCCGATACGCGTAAGACCCTGGAAGAGGAGATGCTGTGCCGCATCGACATGGAGAACACGGTGCAAAGTTTGCGCGAGGAGCTCTCCTTCAAGGATCAGGTGTTCCAACAGGAACTGCAGGAGACACGCACTAGACGCCAGGTCGAGATATCCGAAATTGGTAAGTTGGCATGAGGACTTGTGACATAATTTCTACTAGTGACGCTGTAATTTATAATTCAACCAATAAATCCAATAAAAAATATATCCAATAAATCCAATAAAAATAGAGATAGGTTCTAAAGTTGAGATATTGAGAACCACTTCTTTTTGCCACTACGAAAGAAACAAAGCAACAAGACCCATTTAATGAAGATAGTCTTCTAATTCCAACTAATTTACATTACTATTTACTACAGATGGTCGCCTGGCCCAACAGTATGAGGCTAAGTTGCAACAGAGCCTGCAAGAGCTGCGTGAACAACAGGAGGCTAATATCAAAGCCAACCGTGATGAAATTGAAGCTCTATATGAAAACAAGGTAATTACAAAAGTAATGAATATTAAAAATCAATTAATCTATAGTGATTCTGCTACCTGCCTGCCTACATGCTATAAAACGAAAGATTTTAATGAATGAGCTTATTTGTACGAGTCAACCACCGTACAGTAAGTTTACCTGGGTCAGCATTATTGCGCCACTCGCTCTATATGTCTCCATCATTTATATTATTGCACTTACACCGCAATAAGCCAGTACGTAATTTGGTGACATACCGTGCGCGTGACTCATAATCCTATATCGTTCACTTTTCATCCTAGTTAAATAAATCTTAATCTTATATTTGTGGAAACAGACAATACAGTGAATTTATCCTAAACTGACTCTATCTCTTATCTCCTTTAACTTTATCTCGATCCAACCCCGAACATTATTCTTATTCTTTATTAACTGAAAGTTTACATTTTATTAGTACCTATGTGTTTTATTTAATTAAAACTTATCTTTAGATGAAGAATCTGCATAACGCGGCCAACCGTAACAGCACAGCTGCTACCGTTGCCGTAGAAGAGCTACGTACCATGCGCACGCGCATCGACAGCCTCAATGCTACCCTCAACGACCTGGAAAATAAGAATGCGGCACTCAGCGTAAGTGGCGAAGTCATTTATGTTCCTCCCCACACATGATCAGTTAAACATACCAAACATTATTATTAGCTGGATATATCTTCAACAAATGTATTTGTAAAACTGTATTTTTTAACAAATTGCTATCTAGTTGTGGATGCTTAACCAGTGATATGAATGTTGATATGATGTTGCAAGACACACTTTGTGTTTTCTATTGTGTCTTAAATACAAGAGGTTAACGCTTTGTTGAAACATTTTAAATGATTCATAACCAAAACATTTTTAATAGAAGTTATTTGTGAATTTAACATATTAACCTTAAAACGTAGCTTTCATTTACGTTCAATATACACACTACCAGTAGGGTCATAAACAGAGCTAACAATATAGTTGATGTACAGAACCGTTGCCGTGAATTGGAGCGTCAGCTGGAGACTGAGCGCGCCCGACATGCCGAAGACCTCGCCTCGCTGGAGCAGGAATTAGCCAGGCTGCGGGACGAGATGGCGGCGCAACTGCGCGAGTACGCCACGCTCATGGACATTAAGATTTCCCTCGACTATGAAATCGCCACTTACCGTGCGCTGCTTGAAGGCGAGGAAGACAGGTAAATGTTACTCATTATATTTTTTTAAATAGGGCTGTAAACGATCACTACGTATCGGGCATAGACGGGTGTCTTCTGTGCAAAACCAGAAGAATTTGGTTGTTAGGAGTTTAGGATTAGGTTGTTTCACGCCGGTATTCTGTGAGGCCGTGCCGATATAATAAAAAAATGATTTTCCCGCACTTATACACATGATAATGTTTAAGTATAAATACATACTGCGCAACAAATTGGTCTTTACAATTATATTGATAAGTATATAGTAAAGACGTGAACTTTGTGAATCTTTTAAATAGTGTAAAAGCTGATTTGAATGTTCGATGTCCCAACCAGGCTGAACCTGACCAGCCAGTCCCCGGGGCGCGAGTCCCGCGCGTCGGCCAGCGTGTCGATGAGCGCGGGCGGCGCGCGCGGCACGCCGTCGCGGCGCGCCACGCCCCTGCGCGCTGCACGCAAGCGCACGCTGCTCGACGAGACCGAGGAGCGCAGCCTCAACGACTACAGCGTCACCTCCAGCGCCAAGGGTGACCTAGAAGTCGCAGAGGCCTGTCCCGACGGCAGCTTCGTCAAGATCAGGAACAAGGGCAAGAAGGTAATTTCGGATGTTAATCGTGTACTTTTGAGTCTTTTATTTGACTTCAATATCTACCACCATACATATGAATCATGTAATTTTTCTGAATATTTAAGTGTGTTTTTTTAATTAACATAGGAACTGAGCCTCGGTGGATACCAGATTCTCCGTAAAGCTGGTGACCAGGAGACAATCTTCAAATTCCACCGCACGGTGAAGCTCGAGCCCGGTGCAGTAGCCACTGTATGGTCTGCCGACGCCGGTGTAGACCACGACCCACCACGAGACATCGTCATGAAAGGCCAGAAGTGGTTTGTTGCAGACTCCTTCACCACTGCTTTGTTGAACAACGACCAGGAGGTATTATATATTCTTATTTGTTTATGTTTTCCTGCTACATGTATTTCACAGGTCGCGAATAAATCTTCTACTATGAAATCTAACATATTTTTAATTGCAATTTGTATCCCACAGGAGGTAGCAATTTCGGAGAGACAGCGGCGACAAATAAGCACCAGCGCACAGAGACACCGCGAACTGGCTCATAAATACCCTCGTCGTGAGCAGGTACGGTTTAGTTAACAGTTAACTATCGTGTTATATTATTATGTTGTCTTTTTTACGTCAGTGGATGTCTTACATCTACACTAGCAGTCCCTTACGTGGTAAGATTTGTATCATGCTATTTAATTGCATTTGTATTCCAGCTTGGTGAACTTCGTGAGGGAGAAGAGAACTGTCGTATCATGTAACTAATGGCGCGGAACTGAGTGTGCCCCGCCGCACTCGCCACACGGTGCCTCACGCTTCACCCGGAGCTATGGACTCTGCGTCTGCCCTATGGGCACTCTCAACATTACATAACACAGTTCACATAATTAAGATTGTCTTCATTTCTACACCGACACAGATACAATGAATATTTAATCGAATTAAATTTTTCTTTACAAAACAAATTATTACTTGAATACAAAATAGCTGTTAAATGTTAATTACCGTATTTGAATCCCTATAAACTAAAAATATCGGTGGAGTAAGTGACGGGCAACAAGTACCGTCTATTAGGCATATAGCTGTATAGGTAATTTGCTTATGCCTGCCAATAAGACGTAAAGTAACTATAAAGACTGGATATATCTAAATGGAATACTTCTTGGTCTAAACATTCATATGGGACTGCAACTTCCGTAGTTAAATAGAATTACGATCCTCTAGCTATATGCCTCTTAGACATTACTTAAAATTTTTATGTTTTCTATTTTGTTTTGTCTCTGGTCAAATTTTATAAATATAAAGCACTGCCTCTAATGGCTTCTATAATATATTTATAGACAGTGAACAAAGTACAAAGAAATCGTTCACTTATTGGTGAGATGATTGCAATCCTTCAAAGATGATACAAAATACAATCCAAAATAAAATAAATTCTTAAGAAAGAGAATCAGTTAAACTTTGGAGGATTACAATCCATAGTGGGTAAGTATAGATACAGTTTTTTTTTTCACCCCACCCCTTCCTCAGTTTATTATAAGAAATTTTATATTCATTAATAATTTAAAATATCCATCAGATAACGATAAGAATTCATATGTTGTGTAGATTAAATCTACTAATAAAATCATTATTCTTAGTGACCTTGGATTAGAAAATCACTACATTAGGTTAAGATTCAGTTGACTATCACAAAAAACGGCGATATACCTAGTTAAGCGTTAGTTCGCACTTATAGTTGTTTAAGATTTACCAAATTGTGGGCGCTTTTTAAAAGATGTTTGTGTGTCATTCAAAATGTAATGGTCAAAAAAGAATTTTATATTATTAAATTTAAATTAACATTTGCAATTATTATACAGTCAAAAGATACGACGTCTAAAAATAATATAATGTCTTCGTGAATAATTACGTAGGTACTTGAATTCAGTAAAAAAAACAATAGGTGCAAGTCTCAAATGAAAGGCTCTCAAGTCAACATATACACTAAGTAAATAATAGCATTTACAATTGCCTCTAAATGAAGTATGTAAAACTTATTGTTAAAAATAAGTTGCTAATTTTAAGTAATAATTCATTTGGTGTTAATTTTTGTTTTTAATCATTGAGGATAGAATCTGATTCATTGTCATTCTATTTTGTTTTATGAGCAATCATGAGGCGTTTTTAGTTTGGACCCAGTTTATATCTTCCATGTAATAAACCATATACTTGTATTACAATAAAGTTATATTTAAGTTAAAAGAGTCTACTTATTTAAATTCCTTTTCTAATACTCCGTATATTATTTCTCCACAACGAATTGGGACACTAATGTATATTATTAATTGTATCGATAGGACTAAATAATGAATGCTCCTTTTGGTTCCTTTATAGCTAACGATGTTGATCCGATTAAATTTTACGAAATTTTAGCAATTATAATTATATAGGAAACTGAGATTGAGTTGTATACTTTTGTTTCAAAAATATTCTTCAAAAGAATTATTTCCAGGTTATATGGTAACTAAAAATTTACCGTGTAAACTCGTGTGCGTTACCCAGGCCAGATGTTGTTGAAAATGGTAATTTGTGTCTTATAGATAATTAGTTGTGCGGCTTCTGTAATTGTTGGGCACATTTTTAAATTTGTTGCGCTTATAGTTTTTTAATTATTTCACAAAAACATTTCCTGCTGGGGTAACGTTACCCCAGCCAGACCTTTTTCTTTCTAATGAGAATATTTAAATAATTACTAGCTATAAAATTATTTGTCTAGATGAAGTAAATGTTATCCCTTATTTTGTATTTGTTCTTTCGTTGGTTACGAAGTTATTCGAGATTTTGCTGGGGTAACGTTTTTGGTTTTGCTAGATCTTTAAAATGGTAAAGTGGTTTTTTTTTATCATATTTATAATAATAATAAAATAATAAAAATCGTTTATTTGTAAAAACAGATTACGGAACCTATAAATTGTGATTGGAGCCTCCTTTTAAGCAAGATATGCCTGTGTTAGGAAACTCCGCTCTTTCACAACAAGACGTACATAGTTAATATCTATAAATACAAATACAAACATTACTAACTTATTGCCTCGTTGGCCGAATGGTCGTAACTGCGACTGCCGGGCAAGGGGTCTCGGGTTCGATTCCCGGGTCGGGCAAAGTATTACTGGGTTTTTAAAAATATTGCCAGTAATAGCACGGAGTCTGGAATTGTGCCCGGTATATGGCAATAGGCTCACCCCCTATTACATGGGACTCATAACATAAATAGTGAAAAGTGGGTGTTACATTGTACAGTGGTATAACGTGTACCTCTGCCTACCCCTTCGGGGATAAAAGGCGTGATGTTATGTATGTATGTAACTTATTCTAATTTAAGGACCAAGTTTGAATTAAAAATAGTAGGTACGTACATAAATATTTGAGTGAAACATGTACATGTATTGTACTATCAATAGCTTGTGGTAGGTGTCAATGTAGGTGTTGAAGAAGTGCCTCAGTCTCGTGGTAAGAAAGAGTTTTTAACCATTCACTTAACATTTTTTTGGAATCATAATAAGTTTTTGAGTAAATATACACTTGCTTATTTATTCTATTATACAACTGCGCAGACCGTTTGCTAAATTGTGTACTAGCAGACACGGTCCTTGTCTGAGGGACCGTGACTATAGCGTCTTGCCTTCTTCTTGTTGATTTGCTGGCATCGAAAACTGTAGATTTATGTTTTTTTAGAACAATTTGAAGTATATAGAGTTTCCTCACCGATAGCAAGTTACTAATTGTATATAAATCTTCAGATGGGAATCTCTTTTTTTTAAAGTACATACGCTTGATTAGAGCTCGTTGTGCACGCTCCAACTCTAAAAATTTAGTTTTCCCTGCACCACCCCATATAGGTATACAGTATAATAGCACTGACTGTACCAGTGCGACATAAACATCATTTAGCAGATTTTTTTGGCGGCCATCACTGCTACATATATTTTTAGGTACTACATGTCTCAGAGTACTGAAAATCCAACTAAACTTTCTGACTCTGTTTACAACCTGTTCAAGGTGAGGGTGCCAACAAAGTCTCTGGTCCATTATAATACCTAAGTATTTGACGTATGGTACTTTGTTTATAATTGAACAGCTACAATTTGTATAAATCTCGTCGTCGTCACAGGTATGGACTTTTATATTAAAGTCCTCAGTGGGTTGTGTTCTATTGCAGACACTGAAGCATATGTAATTTGTTTTTGAAACGTTCAGTGTAAGCAGATTCTTGCTCAGCCACCCAGCTATTTTAGATAAGCCAAGTTCAGTGCTTCGCTTGACGTCATGCCATGTCGCACCAGTGAAGACTACTGCAGTGTCATCGGCATACGAGAAGACTCGTACATGGCTTCTTAGGAATTAGTTTAAATTTGTTCTGCAATAAAAAAAAACAAAATAATACATAGCTTAAAGGTTATTTCATTAAATAGAAAAACACTTCAATTGGTCCCAGCACTATCAATAAGAGCTCTAAATACTTACAACGTTATTTTTAAGCTTTAACTGCGTTTAAATGTATGTGAAGATCATCATCTTACTGCCAATAACAAAGAGTAGAATACAGGGTGACTTGTAACTCGACGTATTCCTCTCGGAGGTGATAATATAACTAATTTCCTACAAAATCAGCCCTGAGGTCTCTGGTCTGAAAGTGGGTAGTTTCTGAGATATTCAACATTTTCGGTTTCAGTGAAAAAATCCCGATCGAACTACAAAAACATCAGTAAATAAAAAACTACTGGTTTGATTTGACTATAATTGGCGACTATATACGCCCAATACCTATTGTTACCTTTTTTATCTCTTAGTACTATGTATACAGATGCTGTTGATATACCTATTTAAATAAATAAAAGTGTGGGAGAGCCATACTTAGGCACGAATGGGCCGGCTCGACCAAAGAGTATAATAAGTATAGGGGGGCTCGACCCGAGTGATACCACGGCCTCATAGAAAACCGACGTGAAGCAACGGTTGCGTTGTGTTACGTCGTGTGAACGAGGTTACCGGAGGCCCAGCTACCCTCCCCCCCTTCCCCAATCCCCGAATCCCCCACAATCCTCAAACTCTAATTCCCAAAAGGCCGGTAACGCATTTGTAACGCTTCTAGTGTTCCAGGTGTCCATGGGCGACGCCGATTGCTTACCATAAGGTGATCCATCTGCTCGTTTACCGGCTTAGCCATAAATAAAAAAATAATCTTTTTTTTTTTTTAAGGGGGGAAAATCATCGAATGACTGCTCCCGCCTGGGTGAGGCGGGAGGGAGTGTCAGACTCTTATTGACTAAAAACCACCCCGTTCCTTCTCCTGCACGTCTAGCCGGAGCCCCGGTTACCCGTTAGGTTCTCCGCGACTCCGAATCGGCATCGGCCGTATTGGGCCCCATCTGTTGTGGTCTGATGGCTCTTTGAGGCGCGCGCGGAACGCGACGCGCCGTACGCTCAAAATAAAGGACATAGGATTGAATTCTAGTGTAATGAAGTGGGTTAAGGATATTAATTGAATAATTAGTTAGTAGTATAACATTTGATTAATTTCGCTATTTACTTAGATATTTATATACAAGAAACCACATAAATCTGATTTATATTTTAAATCATTATACGAAAACTGTCTCTGTCGTTCTTAGACAGCTTCACAATTTTGACACTAGAGGCGCTAGTTAGAATCTTTGCATAATTAAGATCGATTCAGAGTTTTATGGATTAAGATGAGAGTGTTATATTTATAAATCTATGAAATCTATGGATGAGAGTGCCTAGAAATTGGGAGTTTGAGAATCTAACCATAGATAAAAATTAATATATACAACTTAAAATATATAAAAAAATAAATTTAAAACTAAAATATTTACACCTTAAAAAAATAATAATAATAAAAATAAATCATAAGGCATCAAAGAAAACATTTTCCTCATCGCTACCGTGAGGTAGGGTAGTGGGTAGGGTGCCCAAAAGACTGGCAGCATTGCCACGTTGAATGGCAATGCTTAAAAAACCTTTGCCCAAGGTATTACCATAGATTATCTAATCCCTAGGTTATATTTTTGAATAAAATTATGTTAGTCTTTGATTTGTGAACTAAAATTACTAGTATCCAGTCACGAAAATTGTTGACAGATTTCTTTTTTAAATTTTATGTCACCACAACAAATAAATGTCATAATTCAAACATAACCAACAGAAACAGTATTTATTTTATTAGTTTCCTATTAGAAAATATTTGTTTATGATAATATAAGTAATTATTGTGTCTTTTCATATTAAGGAAGAATAATTTACGATATCTGCTGTGTGAGGTAAAATTTTACCACTTGTATAATTATAAATTTTCGAATTTCACAGTTTAGAATATTAACTCTCAATTTGTTACTGTAATATATTATGTGGTACCTGTCTTCTTGATGCAATCCAGAGTATCCAGACAGAGACGCTATCAATTATCACCATCCCGGCCCCTACTTAAAGGAGGTTAATATATTGTAACCTGTTTTGAATGAACATTTTTCATACTCCTTTCACGGAAGAATAGGCCCTGAGTTTGCTAAAACTTACGTACGTAACTTAGAAGACAATGTTTTACGCTCTATTCCTTAACTCATTTTCAAAATGGAGCTCTTGATGTATATAATGTATTGATACCCTCATTAGTTCTAGTTAAAGGTAGTGTACAATCTAAACCTAAGTAATTTTTCTTAATTTGTGTAATTACCTGAATCCACTTATAATAAGCCAAAACTTTAAAGAATCTTATATGTTTGTTCTTATGGTTAATGGAAAATTTGGATTAAAGTAGGTGATTTACAAAAAAAAATATTTCTTAATGTACGGAGGGTACATTAAGAAAAAATTTAAGAAATTAAGAAAAACCTCAGCTAATACTGTTTTTCATCTGATTTGCAAAGTTTCTAAATCAGTAAAAATCTTGCTCTCTTTAATCTGACTGGAACATAGATCTAAGCAAGACATGATGTTGTTTCTATTGTATTTTATATGCAGGCAGCCTGGTGTATGTACTATGTACTTATACATAAATGTTATTTATAATGACCTCTAGACTGCTGCAAAATCTACTTATGTTGAAAAGGGAACAAAATACCACACCTTTACAGAAAACTGATATAAAGACTATTGTGTTGTGTTCTGTGTGTGGTGTGGTTACAGGAGACCCAATCCTCAACCTCACCCTACGTTGCGGAGAACCTAACGGGGCTCCGGCT